AAGTAAAACGTAAATTAAGCAAAAAATTTCAAAAATCCAAGATGGCGGCGCCTTTTTGACAATGTTCCCCTAGGTGGAGGTCTGGGGACTTTTAGTATGTTCATCAGAACCATAAATCCTATCGATTGAGACTAGTCGCAGCTTTATGTTATTTTGTTCCCAATTCACCATATAAGAATTTTTAACTGTCTTGGAGTATATTACACAAAAGAGGCACAGCCAAGTGCCGTTCTATTGCCTCATAGTTATGGTCAGCAATCTCTATGCCACATTTAAAAGCACACACCCTTAAAAATTTGTGTTGCACCCTCTAATCTAGAATAAATCTTACCAAAGAACAGTAGACCATCCGAGTGGCCTCCACCGAGAAACATTGGCAATTTCTTATTACAAAGCCCAACATTTTTGACCCCTTCACAGAGACAGAATTAATCTGTTCAACAAATGAGAGAACCTTTCGTCCAAAACAACCCTCAAGTCCCTAACTGAAGAATAGTATATTGTGTATTTAGGTGGAAAAGTGACACATTCTCGGCCGACGGTGTAAGTTGACGGGCGAGGCGTAGCCGAGGCCGGCAAACACCGAAGGCCGAGAATGTGCTTTTCCACCGAAATACACATACTATTTTTTCTGCGATCGGTTAAATACCTGTTAAATGTTTGTCTTTTAGTTCCAATTATTCAGCAATACGAGAATTTTTTCCGTATTGTTATTCATTGATTCCTTAGCAACTATTGAAACATAATTGAAATACCAGAATATTGAGTTTTGCGACCTGTCAACCGGTCAAAAATGCTGACATTTCTTGTTAATCGCAGAAAAACATACTTAAGAGCTTGATTGTTTAAAACATATTCAGTTTGAATCTTATTAACCTTGCTAGAAAAACTGATATAACAGCATTTGTCCACATTTAGAGACAGCCTATTCACTCCACACCACACGGACAAACGATCCAAATCCTCCTGCAAAAGATTCTGGTCAACAACGCTTTCAATTGTTCTCCAAAATTTTAAGTCGTCTGCAGATTTTGTGGATTCAGTGTTTTTGAAACATTCATCTATGTCATTGAGAAATATATTAAAAAGTAAAGGTGAACAGTGACCGCCTTGAGGAACACCCGATGTAACGGAAACTATCTCTGATAAGCAACAACCTACTTTGACATATTGAGCACGACCTCTCAATGCGCTACGGAACCATAACACAAACCTATCATGAAAGCCAAACTTACTCATCTTCCGCAGGAGAATCTGATGATCTACGCGATCGAAAGCTTTAGAAAAGTCTGGTGTATATTGAATCTACCATGTTTGTGCTGTTCCATGTGGTGCAGAATGTCTGTTTGATAGCCCAACAAATAAGTTACCGTGGATTTGTTATGACAAAAGTCATGTTGTTTCTCCGAAATTAGACACTTGCACATCCATCCCAATTCCCTACTAATAGGAAGCTTGGTTATTCGTTCAAAAATCTCTTTCTTACTTATTTCTACGCAATTAATATTGTTACTTAGGACGTTGTTAACAGTTGAAACAGGTGAGACTGGAAGGCTCTGATTATTGTTATTTACATAAATCGTCTGAAAAAATTCTCCAAATATATCGGCCCGGTCACCATAAAGGAGTGAGCCTGGGAGACTGTGAGCAGATCTTGTCGTTGATGGCCAAAATGACTTTGGATCATCCCTCAGCCTTCCGTCAAAATCCCTTATGTAATTGCAAAAGCACTCATCCGACAGCCTTTTGCATTCAGCACGTAAATTCGAAAACTTCTGATAATTAAAATATGAATGATCTCTGATGAATAAGGCATGAGCATATCTTTTCTGACAAGTCAGTTTTCTTAAATCTGATGAAAACCTTTTAGGGAATGTAGATGTTCTATATTTTTTTAATGGGACAAAGTATGCAATACCCATGGCCAACACTTTATAGAAAATATTAGTAGAAGCATTAACATTATTTTTCCTTAGACCTGTGTTTGAATATTCATGCCAGTTGATGGATGCTGAGAAGTTATTAAGTTCTCTGTAGTTTGCATTTTCAAAATCATAATAAAATTCTTCACAAGATAAATTGCTATTTTTGCATGTACCAGCCACCGGCATTACAAACTCATACCCATAATGGTGAAAGCTATTATTCAAAAGTAAATCTGAGGCAAGTGTGACAGTAAAATCTTTAATATCAGAGAAAAATAAATCTAAAAACACATTCCTATTGTTAGGTAGTTCATTAATTTGAAAAAGTCTAAGATAACCGAATACTTAAGCCACCAAAAGGGCAGAGTCGCCCTGAAGACACTACACCAAGGTTCCAAATTCGTCATTCGACCAGGTTGCATTAGGCAAGTTATAATCACCCATCAATTCAATTCAATTCAATTCAATAAAGCTTTATTGTCCTAATTCTTAACAAAATCACTGACAAAGCAAAAGGTACAAAGTAAGTCCTAAAAACTATACATAAAAGGCAGGTAATAAAATTTCCTAATAAGTTCCGTCTAAAATAACAATAACAATTTAGGTAAGTGCTTCAAGCAGCGTGACACTAGTCATGAAAGAAGCCTTCAGCAAAATTGTTTACTACGTATATATCATAAATATCACTGAAAATGGTTAAAAGATTAAAATAACAAACAAATTAGAAATAACAAACAACAAATTCAAAATGGGAAATCACACAAGCAAATAAAAAAACAATAATAAAACACAATAAAATAAAATAGAATAAAATAAAATAAATAAAAACTTTAAAATATAGTAACATAATCCGTCTTATAAAACTCTAAGATAATATAATAGCTACAAATAAATTTTGGAATCATAAACAAAACGCTGTCATTCATAAAACTCTCCCAGGCTATAATAAGCTTTTTCAATTAGGAATGCTTTAAGTTTTTTTCGAAAGAGTTTGTACTGTTCAATGTTTTTAAGTTCCCTTGGCAGATGATTGAAAATTTTGATTCCCTCATAAACTATTGAATGTTTCACTAATGCAGATTTCGGGATTGGTAGAGGTAAATAGAAGTAAATACTTTCCTTTGGGCAGCGTTGACGGATCCTTTCTACTGTTTCACAGTGCCAACCATAAACTTTCCTAGATGATTGAGGGGGGATGTAAACTCCCCCTAAAGTGAACTTAACTTTATTTTGTTCACACAAAATAAAGATTTGCCTGTGATTTAATACTATTTCTGACCAATATTATAACACCGCCCCCACTAAGTTTTTTACTAGTCAAGACACTACGGTAACTTCTATAAACAGAAAACCCTTTAAATTTAACCTCTCTTTCTGAAAAGCGCTCGTTTAAGTTGCTCTCTACTAGGACAATTATGTCATATATACTACTAGTAACTGTCTTTACGAGATCAACTAACTTGGTCCGCAGACCACCAACATTTTGAAAATATATGGTTAATGGGGTAGAGGCTATTTTTTTTGTTATTTTGTTTCTATGACAGGTGAGTCATTATGATATTTTATAATAAGGTTGTCTTCACCAACCTCCTTCCGGCTATTGAGTTATGTTTTTGCTTTATTGTATGCTTCCTGCTGCGTTTTCGTCTGGTCATTAGATATTCTGATGGTTGATGAATTGCGAAGTTTATTGCCAGACTTTAGAGTCAATTTTACCACTTCACCGCTGTTGCAAACAACAAACAACCTTGATAGATCTTGCTTTTATGCTGTTGAGCACTTGCTTCCCAACTCGAAGCACTTTCAGAGCGACATCTTGCTTCAAACCAAGTGCAGTGAACACCTCAGTGACCTTGGCCTTATCATGGTCAATTCGTTCATTCAAATCTTGAGAATTCAACTCGGGAACATTATACATCATTAAGTTCTGTGAACGAATTGTTCTTTGGTTAACTTCATGTAGCAGTGATTCAGTGGATGACTCATTAACAAGTGATTTTTCCTTTTCCAATGCTAGAACCTATTTTTTTAAAGCCGTAATCTCATTCTCCAATACAGTCATCTTCCTTACCATGAGTGGTACATACACACTTAAACGCTACTCTGCAAGCCTCGCAGAAGTGCATAGGTATTCTTTTTTGCAGCTGGACCGCTCTAACTTCGGATGCTGATAAACCTGAGCAACGTTCTTGCATATGAGTCTTCGCCCTGCAGCTGTCGCAGGCGATGAATGCTATGATTTGCTTTTCATCAGCACCGAGATCCAAGGTGCGAGACGTACAAGCCAGCTGTGCCATACTACACACAACAGTAGTGAACACCCTGTATTGAAAATAAACCCAATTTAAATTTTAACCCACAACTTTTTGCGTCTGATTGAAGGGTGCATAAGTGGCCATTCAGATCATCAGGCTTAAATCTTTTTGTCTGAAATAGCCTATTTAAGGCATCTATTCTTTTCTCTTGTTTCACATACATATAAGTGAAGAGGAGGCATATTCAGCAGTGCCTCTAAGGCTGCGGTGGGGCAGGTTGACATAGCCCCTGTTATTTCTAGAGAGATTAGACTTAAAGTAAAATAAAATAAAACACTATCTAATGCCAAATTCGCTAAATTTGCCTTCTCAATAATAGTCAATCATACAAACACTTTCGAACAACTCTGGCCCTGCTCTCTGGATAGAACTCGTCAAATCCATTCGAAGCAGGTATAATATTTATGCATTTTCCTTAGGCTAATAATTACTTAATTTCCTATTCGAAAAATAAAAAATAGAACTCAATGTCTAAACCAAAATGGTTTTTCAAACATTTCTTAATGCAATCAGTGTTGTTGTTTTCTGTATTTTTATTATGAATAATATTGTTATAAATTATTTTAGCTGGTAGCCCTGGATTTGACCCCGAGACTATTCTTTTCACATCTTTATGGAGTAACCTATTTTGTTTTTTTTTTTCAAAATATTTTGAAAACTAAAAACCCTATAATAATATTAAAAGAAGTAACGAAACGTCAAACTTGCTGACACAAAAACTTTTTTGTAATTTAAGTTTCCAAGTTATCCTTCATTTCAGGCACTTTCCCCAGATGACTATAGAAGGGTGATGAAATTAGTGGAAACGGCCATTTTGTCGACGGATTTGGCGATGTATTTTAAGAAGCGAAGTAAATTTATGGAACTTATCGATAATGGAGAATTCGATTGGCAGAGTGACGATAAAAAGGACTGTAAGTTTATTTTTGTATTTTATCTATTCCTTATCCTTATGCGCGCAAAATTTAGGTAGGTATACTTGTAAAGTTTTGATAATCTGAAAAGCTCATTCGAAGCTTTGTTACGATTTTACATAGCAGAATATAGTTTTGTTAGAATCCAGATTCCTTAAAAGATGTTTCAGCTAATTTGACATTTAATCAGGACTTGAGGAGAAAATTATATTAGAAGTAAAGGGCATCGAAAATGTTATGCAATAGAAGAAACATTAGCTTTTATAGCGAACCATCTAATTCTCTCCAGACCTTTGAAAAATATAAATAATGCAAATTCGTAAAGCGATTCGAATATGTTTCGCTTGGACTCTTGCAAAAGCTGCAATTCCATTTTTGCATACTGCATGTATGCATGTACTTACTTGAAATAATTCAGATGGGGGTCTGTACTATAAACTTGCAATACAAAATAAAATTTTATAATATTCACTTTCAATGTTTTATGCCCAAAAAAACATAATAATTATATATCGTAGCATAAAAGCTTGCTCAGGTTTGTCAGTTCTATGGCATATAAAATATATTAGGTATATGGATTGATACAAAAGGCATATACCAAATAAATAGCGCTTCAAAGATCAAAAGTAATGAATTGTTAATAAGACATGTATTACCAAATCCTCGATTAGCTTTGTGTCTCCAGATAATTAATTTCGAAAATAGAGGCTGCCGATTGGAATATCAAGCGTACAATAAGTCCTTATCAATGTCGGTTCAATTTAATCACAAACTTGAAAATTAATGGAGTGCTTTATGCTTTCATGATGTAAGATGCGCTTTTGGTTAAACCTAAATCAGATTAGGAATTTGCAATGTATAAACTATGGTTTTAGGGATTTTATTCAATTCTAGTATTATCTGGAATGATGATGACTGCGTGTGATGTCAGCGCGATAGCCAAACCTTGGGAGGTGCAGCATCGGATAGCGAAATTGGTTGCTGATGAATTTTTTGATCAAGGCGATCTGGAGAAGATGCAGTTAAAGGAACAACCAATAGTAAGTATACCACCCATTTATATTAAACAAAAATTGAGTTTCTGTTTTCTCTATTTTGAGTCGTTCCAATTAGTTTCAACTTGAATTTTAAAATCGCGACAGGGACACCGATTTAACCTATTCTCGCTGAGATTTTCAGGAGTTATCCAATCAATAGTGCGAGCTGACAAAACCACTGAAACAAAGAAAACCCTTTACTTTGTCTCCACAACAATGTCGAATTTGATAAAATGATAGAACATTTTTATGCCGGATATTTGGGACAAAAAGCTGCCATTCTAATTGAAATCGCGCATTCAATTAAGTGAAAATATCCTCATACTTTTTAAAAATTTGAAACCTACACAAGGATTTATAAGTATGGAAAGTCAATAATATTTAGTCCTAGTAAAGGTTTACTTAACGAGCATGTTTATTTTTTGGTGTGCTTCATTACTGTTGCATTACCTCCAATATTACTGTCTCGCTTAATTGAAACCCATTTCTCGAAGCTTGAAACTACCAAAATTACCTTGAGGCTTGTTTTGTCAATTATTGTGATTAGTTTTTTCCTGGATTTAAACTGAACAAATATTGTTGTACTGGAATAAGTGATACGAGTATTTGGGCCAGTGTAATTTGATATTCCAATTGATTTCTTTTCCGGATTTCTTCCTTGGAATTAGAGCATACGATTTCAAATGCAATGTTGGTAGGCGGTTTTCGTAGCGATTGCATAAATAACTAGTTTTTAGCGAACGTTGTTATAGTCTAAGAGCCAGCAACATGATGGTCGTTTGAACCCGTGCGAAAATAAGTTTAATTGTCAAAAATTGAATTAGATTTCAGACCATCAGTCGCCATTTTAGCAACAGGAAAAACGTCCGTCGTTCACTATTTCATATTGTAGATTCTATAAACTATAACTTCATGTAAAAAAGAATCTTGCCAAAATCGGTTTTCTTTTCATGAAAATTAATGACTTCCTAATTGGTCTTACGCCAAAGGCAACATAAATAGCTTGACTGACCATCCTATTCCATATACAGGGTGTCCCACGACGTTTTTCCCAGGTAATAACTAAACGGAACGCGTCATCCAATATAATTGAAATTTTGAGGATCTGGGTAACTTTTTATGCCGCTTCTACCATTGTCATCCAATTTCACCACTTTCGCTTCAATTTCGGTCAAGTGACGTCAACTTTCGAATCTTAAATGTAGCTCATGGTATATTATGGCATTTTTCGTTACAAAATTATATTACAAAATCGGCAATGCCATATTTGTTGAGGCTTTGTTGAAGAAAATGATAAAAAATTATACAGTGGAACATACGATGATGCGTTCCGAAGTTATCATTTGGGAGGAACCTCGTGGGACACCCTGTATATCCACATGATAAAGGTAGGCTTTGCAAATTTTTTTAGATTTTCGAACGACTTACATATTGTTGACTCTTAGACTATTACATAAAGAGCAAGAGAGATGGAAATCTGATAAAGCAAGATCAGGAAAATAGCCGGAAGAACCTCTTGACCTAGCTGATTTTCCGATGTTAGCAGTATGTAGCTGAGCATTATCATGGTGCAAAATCACTCGACGATGTCTTCTTGCTTCCTCTTCTAAAGTTGCCGCCTTAAGAAGTCGCCAGCAGTCATTGTTATATTTTCTGAAGCAATTCATAGTTTAAGTAGGGTAACAGCCTATTCTCGAGCAGTTTTTTCCGGGTTCGTTGATGTGGATTATTATCATCATCATGTATGCAATCGTCATCGTCATCGATGTCGGATGGACTTCCCCAACCTGGAGAATCGGTCAAAATTACCCTCTTTGCAACGAGAAAACCATTCTGGTGCAATACTCTCCCAAAAGTCCCGAATAGAGTCATTCCAGTCAGGGCTGCCGCTACCATGTGTGCGGTGTGTTCAAAATACACAGGCGGCCGATTGGAAAGGGTTGCCGCCGCCGATCCTGATGCAAAAAAAATGCAATGCAAACTTATTGAAAACCATCCCCCCCTCATACAACTTTTAGACTTAGCGCATGAGTCGGGGGGGTAAAGACGAAGGACCACACAGAATGGATACGCGCATCTGTAGTGACGTCACAAGGGTGTCGGCGCTTGACAATAATAGGCAATTTTTCTTGCTTATAGTCTTTGGTTTGTGTCAATCGTTCGTCGGCTGTCATTGTCATTGGCTGTTTTTCTCCGCCTCTCTACGTTATATCTTTCTTCTCTCTCGTATAACGGAATTTGCCAAAACGTTACGTCACGCGTCTTTCAAATCACTCTCCATTCTCGTCAAAATATCAGACCGCCGCCTAAGAAGTTTCACTTCAAAATAAATCATAACCATCGACATCAGACGCACCCGAACATTACAGCGGACCAAACTAATTAGGTTTTTGAAATGAAACTTGTTAAGGCGGTGGTCTGATATTTGGAGGAGAATGGAGAGTGTATTAAGCAGTGAACACACCTTCGACACGGTGCGTCACGTGACGAGCTGACGCGTACCGTGATGTGTAATAGAAATTTGAGCTTAGAAACACACTATTTGCTTACACGACACGCTTCATACCCTGTACCGACACTGACTAAGTTTTTTCCAGTAATTTAATTTTAGTTCGCAAAATAATATTCGTATATGTAGTGATAAAAAGGGAATGTGCCAGCAGTTCCATTTCTGTTTTCGAAACCACAAAGACTAACCAAACAAACATACACAATTTTAAACAAAACTGCTTGCATACCCAGCAAGCGTGTGCTGAAAGTGTGAATTTTCAGAAATCAACGACAAGCGGAGACACGCGTGTTATGTGACGTCAACGTACTGTGTTGACTATACCGTACGGTGTAGCGTGTGTGATTGAGATCAATGAGACCCATAAGAAGGCACGTAAATTTCAAGACCTCACTTCTAGTACTGCACGCGCCAGCTCGTTACGTGACGTACCGTGTCGAAGGTGTTCCCTGCTTTAAAGACGCGTCACGTTTTGGCAAATTTCGTTACACGAGAGAAAAGAAAGATGTAAAGTAGAGAGACGGAGAAAGACAGCCAATGACAATGACAGCGGACGAACAATTAACACAAACCAAGGATTATAAGAAAAGAGGATTGCCTATTATTTTCAAGCGCCAATACACTTTTGACGTCACTACAGATGCGCGTCTCCCTGTTGTATGGTCCTTCCTTCGTCTTTACCACGACTCATACGCTAAGTCTTAAAGTCTTAAAATTGTATTCCATTCCAACGCTGTTAATTTGTACTTAAGAGGGGACTGAGATGACGAAAATTGTCTGGGAACACAGTCGGCTAACACCCTAGCGGCGGCCCTGATTCCAGTGAACGACGAAAGGACATGTCTCAACCTCTTTTGGCTAGAAATCTGAATGTGGAGGTGGTTCCGTTTGATTTGACATAATGCAGAATACCTAAGTAGGTACCGTTAAGTTCCAGCTTTGATATTTGAGGTATTTGCTGTCCTCTAGGCATCCAATGGTAACTTAAGTTGAAAAGGTTTTGTATCAAACCAGAATATTGAAAAAGTTGCCTAACGATACTGTAGATCAAAAATAATTCTAGACCTATGTGTCATCTTTAGGAACATTATTATTATCATTATATTTATGGCATCGTCAACAGGTGAAAATTTCGAAGCAAAAGAAAAGTTTTGCAAACATTGTAAAAAAAAAGTTAGTTCGCCGTTAAACTTTGAAATTTGTGAAACATCCTACCACCCAAGTTGTGCAACCCAGGCAAAAGTGGTGCATAGGGGTGGAAAAGTAATTTGTTGCCAATCACAACAAAGAAGTGAGGTTAGAAAGGAAAAACTCGAGGAAAATCTTTGTAATATGGATGAAGAAAAATTAAAAAAGGTTGTTAGAGGCCTTCTCGTAGAGTTCCTAAATCCTTTCAAAAAAAAAACTGGAAGGAATGGAAGAATCTGTCCAATATATGTCGAATAAGTTCGAAGAACACAAAACTGCCACAGACAATTTCATGACAGAACTAAAAGCTCTGAGACAGGAAAATAATGATCTAAAGGAACGAATAAGGCTACTGGAGACCAGGGCTAACAACAAAGACCAGAAAGAAAAGCAAAACAACATCATTGTCGCCGGAATACCAAAACAAAAAGAAAGTGATATAAAAAAAGTGATTCAGAAAGTAGTGTCAACTATGAAGATAAAAATTGAGAGTGAGGACATCCTGGCAGGCTATAGAATCAAGGAAACTGATGATGCACCAATATTGGTGAAGCTGAAGAATACAGAGTTGAAAGTGCAAATATTCAAGAGAGTGAGAGAACTGAAGGGATTGAAAGTGAAAGAATGTAGCTTGGACGGAATGGACAAAAATATTTACTTCAATGAGGACCTAACATATCAAAATCAAATGCTGTTTAAAAAAGCAAGAGAGCACAAGCGAAATCATCAGCTCACTGCAGCCTATTGCAGAAATGGGAAAATATATATTGAAAAAACTCCCAATGAGCCATCCATTCTGATAAGATGTGAGCAAGATCTGAAACAACAAAATTTGTAAAATAAGTAAGCTAAAAGTTGCATATAAATAATAATCTGTTAAAATGGATTTATGAACGAAACTCAATATTTTATATATTAACATCAGAAGCTTACGAAATAAAATCAATGATCTCATAGAAATAGTCAATAGTAGTCCAAAGGAAATACACATTGTAACCATAACTGAGACATGGGTATATCCCAACGAAACAAACTATTTTAATATACCAGGATATGATGCAACCCATGACTGTAGAGACAAGAGAGGGGGAGGATGCTGTATATTTGTAAAAAATGGAATAAAATTTAGCCCTAAAGATGTTAAATTCACTGAAAATTGCTGTAATATTGTGACTATTCATATAAATAAGACTAACACCATTATAAACTGTATATACAGAGCACCAAAGAGCAATGGTACAATATTTCTTAATGAGCTGAGCAATATAATTGAGAAACAAAAAAGCCAATCAGTAATTATTGGGAATATGAATCTCAGCCTTCTCGAAAATACAACTACAGTGAAAGAATATAAAAACCTCATGGAAATGAATGATTATGAAGTCCAAAACACTTTAAATATTGAAAATGCAACAAGACATACTAAAACCTCAGCTTCAATATTAGATCATGTATATACAAATAAAAATCTAAGGTGCAATATTAAATTAAAGGATCACATAATATCAGATCACAAGAATATGTACATAGAGCTTGAAAAATATGTGACACAATATACAAATGAATTAACATGATAGAGACAAAATTACAACAAGAAGACATACATAGTTTTCAAAGACTGACGGAAATGATGAATAATACAAAGAAAGAATGCACAAGAGAATATAGCTTGAAAATAAAAAGAAATAATTATTGGATAACACCAGAGTTTATAAGGATAATAAAAGAAAGGGATAAACTTTATACAAGATGGAAACGAATAAATAACGATGAGACAAAAGAAGCTTTCAAAGGAAAGAAAAACGAAGTGAATAACTTAAGAAAAAAACCTCGAAAAAAACTAAAGAAATCATATATTGAAAAACGGCTAAATGAAGCTGGAAATGATTCAAAAAAGGCATGGCAGGTCTTAAATGAATTATGTGGAAGAAGGAAACAAAAAACAAACAAGGTCGAACAAATTAAAAGTAGAGAAGGAGTAACTATAGAGAATGAAGCTATTATGGCCAAAGAGTTCAATGACTATTTCTCAGAAATTGGAATAAACTTGAGGGAAAAAATTATTGACAGAAATGTATATATGTTCAAAGAAGAAAATGTTGCTGAGGAAATCAAAATGGACCAATAAAAGTAAAAAATATAGTGCAGGAACTCAAGGAAAACCGCTCACCTGGAGAAGACAAAGTCACAAAAAAAAGACGTAATACTGCTGATGGACATCATAGGAGAAAAAATAGTTACTCTGACAAATAACATATTGGCCAACGGTACATTCCCAGAAGAACTGAAGGTTGCGAAGATTACACCAGTATATAAAAAAGGTTCGCATACAGATCTTGGTAATTATAGACCAATCTCTGTATTAAACACTTTCTCAAAAATAGTAGAAAAAATCGTTAAAAAAAGACTTGTGCAACATATCGAAAACACATTCAAATTTGATGATTATCAATATAGTTTTCAACAGAAAAGCAACACCCTAGGCGCAACAGCTGACCTACTCGAATATGTAACAGAACAGCTTGTCCTCAAGAATCATATAATAATATTTATAGATCTGCAGAGGGCGTTTGATACAGTCGACATAGACTTGCTCTTGGAAAAAATTGAAAAAATGGGAATCAGAGGAACAGCATATAAATTACTAGAGACTTATTCCAAAAACAGAACACGTTATACAGTAATAAACAAAAGCCAAACTGATAAAACAAAACTCAATGTTGGTGTCGCGCAAGGATCGGTATTGGGTCCTACTCAGTATCTCTTGTATGTCCACTGCCTGAAATATTTGGAACTTAAATCAAGATACTTTATGTTCGCTGATGACACCGTACTTATACTATCACATAGTGACCCAAAAACTCCTGAGAAAAGTGCAAATGAGGACTTAGACCTGTATTATAAATGGTTATGCAAAAATAAACTTTCTATAAATGAAACCAAAACAGTATATATGAATATACAACAGAAAAACAGAACCAAAAGTGATCTTCAATTGTTCCTTAACCAAACCAAATTGAGGGAGGTGACTGAATATAAATATCTGGGTCTAACATTAACAAGTGCCTTAAATTGGGACCTACACATAGAAGGCGTGATTAGCAAGATAGTTCCCATGGTTAGTGCAATAAGGAGAAGTACTGAATATTTGAGCCAAAAATCGAGACTTCTACTATATAATAGTTTTATCTTACCCCACATAAAATATTTAATTCCATGCTGGGGAAATTCTGCTAGTTGTCATATAGAGAAATTGCAAAGAGCTCAGAATAAGGCAGTAAAGACAATTTTTCAAATAGACTTCTATACGTCGCGTCGACAAAGGAAGTATATAAACAAACAAAACTCTGGGACATTAAAAAAATAAAAGAATTTGAACAAACAAAATTCATTTACAGTATAAAAAATAAAGTCATAAAAATCAATTCAAATATACAACAAGTTAAAAACTTCCATAGCTATGATGTACGCAATGCCGATCGATTAGGAAACCCCATGGTTAGGACTGTGAAAACTCAGAACTCTCCACTCTTCAGAGGAATCCAAACATATAACCACATACCACAAAATCTATTGGAAGTGAATAATATGAAAGAACTTTGCTATAACCTTAAAGGCCATTTTTCACAATCAGACTAAATTATTTAAAACAGTACAAATTAATATGTGAATATGTAGTTATAGGAATATTGTGAAAAATTATTATTTGTAAATAACTGAAAATAGGCTCAAATACCAGTGTATTTACACTGATTCTGAATCATAAATAAATAAATAAATAAAAAAAAAACATTAATATTATTAATAATGTTTGAGCTTTGAAAGTATAAAACCAGATAATTCTATAGAGGGTTTATGGATAGATAGAAGTAGATAGATAGATACATAGATAATTTTTTTCTTAACCGCGGGATAGGTAGACAGGGTTCACCAAAGTTCCCGGATGTTACTCCATTAGACTGCTGTTTTTGGGGGTATTTGAAAATCAAAGTGTAGAATAGACCAGGATATATTCTTGAAGTAAAAGAGCGAAAGATAATAGACCAGACAACTAAGTCATGTAGACCGATAAGCTTATCGCTTATTTTCGTTCATGCTTCAAAACTTTGAAGAGGCTAATGGATAGGCATATCAGAGACAATAAATTGCAGGCCTTATTCCCTTCAAGTGAACGCCAATACGTATATAGCAACCGGGCAAGCCGACAAACCTAGCACACCGACCTTGTAGCTCTTACTATTTCGGCTATAACAATAGTGGTATCACTTGAAATATACACCCTGTATAGGGAGATAATGGCAGATGATATCCTAGGAATGCCTACGGACAGCACCACAACGGCAATAGAAGCGGTGCAGTCCAACAAAATAATATCAAAGTTAGTTTTGGATTGTCACAAAGCATTAAGCGAGAAGTCAGAATAAGGTGACGCTATCATGGGTACCAGAACATGATCGAACACCATCAGAGCAATAAAGGCGCTGACAAAATAGCCCGAGAAGGCTCCTCAATGCAAATGACTGCACCTGAACCCTTTTGTGGAGTGGCCAAGCCTATTGCCAAAGCATCCATTACGAAATGGGTAGAAAAAGAATCCCAAAAATGGTGGACACACATACCGGGACAAAGACAAGCCAAGAAGTTCTTGAAAACCCCATCGGCTAAACTAACAGCGGAGCCACTAGCCATTATCGGAAGGCTATCAGAATAATGATGTGTTTGCTGATAAGCCACTGCCGACTGAATAGACATTTAAGTCTAAAGGGAGTGGAAGGAAACAGAGACTATAGGTTCTGTCAAGAGGAGGAGGAAACGGTCTTGTGCCATTGTGAAGGCTGGTCGAGAGTGCGCTTCCCATGTCTTGGCTCAATCAAACCAGATGCAGCAAGCCATTGTCGAGGTTGTGGAGTCTGATCAGAGAAATAAAACTGGACGAGGCTCTATGAGATGGAGTGAGTCACAGGGTCGCAGTGACGAAGAGGCGAAAAGCTGACTCTCCCAACATTTTTTAATCTAATCTAATCTCAAAGAGCGAATCAGAATGGAGTTGAGTAATTTAGAGCCCCAAAGTATTCATTATGCATTGTATCATAGATACGCAATCCAAATAGAACATAATGTGGATTTCTTTGAACATTTTTATAACAAAATTAACGTTATATGTTTTTTCCCCTTAGGCAATGATGGATAGAGAACGTAAAGACGAATTACCCCAGATGCAAGTAGGCTTCATTGACGTCATTTGTTTACCTTTATACAAAGTTCTATCGGAAACTTTTCCTTGGATGAAACCTTTGTATCAGGGAACTTCCGACAATAGAAAACATTGGCAAGATTTGGCCGAGAAGGTCGAAATGGGACTCACGTGGATCGATCACGATACAATTGATAAGCCGGTTGAGGCATTCACAGGTAGGTTTTTTTTTTGATTATCATAAAATGCATTATCCAAAAAGAAAAATAATTGTTATTGATGATTCGATATTTGATCGTTTTTAGAATTGGAAGAGACCAAAGACATTGAACTCACCGTACAAACGCTTCACACAGTATCATCTGCACCGCCCGTAGAAATTAAGAAAAGGCACAAAAAACTCTGTTGCATGTTGTGACTATCAAAATTTGACTTTGTTTGTTGCAAAAGGAATCGTGCTTTGGATTATGTTTAATTGCGTGTAATTATTGTATAAAGCTGATAATATGTGAACAATGAGGGTTTTTTAAACAAATAAATCACTTTATCCCGAAGTAGGTACTTAAATAATACTTTTTTAAAAAATTTGAAAATAATAAAGTGATTTTTTTAATGCATTTTGTATTAAATTATAATGGTGGATTCTAAAAATAGGTAAAAATTTCTCCAAAACAACAGCCGGGCTACTACGCAGAAAATAATATGCAGTTGTGAAATCAGGTCTAATAAAGTATTATAATACTGAGCATTTTTAGATATTATATTATTATGTTGATATTTGATTTATTAGAAAGTTTATAACAAAAAAAATAGTGAATATGTATGGATAGTGAGAAGAAAAGACATTTTGTATAAAAGCAGTAGGTACTCAACTTATTGTTGTTAATATGTCTTGATATTGATATTAATTAATTAATGATAGTATTTGCTGTATTTTTTTTTGTATTAATTATTGCTTTAAGCTTCATACATTTTTATAGTTTTAATTTTCTTACATGGCATTTGGTGTTGAAGATTGTTGTTAGCTATTTATGTATATTTGTTTAACAGGTTAACAAGAAGTAATTCTTGATAATTTCAACCATTTTCAAGAAGTAGGTAATCAATCTGATAGTAGTCAGAGTTTTTTAGGTTTCCATATAGGGTCTTCTCGTGTTTGAATTTATTAATATCCCTTTATATTGAAAAAAATTGATTATCCCATTGGTCCAAATAGTCCAATAATAACTTTCAGGGGGATGTTTTAGAGTGAATAATGGAATGCAACAATTTCTTGAGGGGATGAAAGCATGAAAATCTAATTTGTGTCCTGAATTTCTGGAACTAGCAATTCCAAAGGTAAAGTTCATTACAATTTAAATGAGGCCCCCATTTTGCCTTGGCATGGCTAACGAAACTGCTTATCACACACCTAGTATAAATAATAAATAGGAAAGGCGAGAGAGTATTAGGATGAAATTTATGATTTTAAGCCTAGTGCTAGTGAAAACAGTTTTACTAATAAAGAAAGCTGTATGTGTACCTATACCTACTGGAGATTTACACAAACCATCTCAAATAAACTCCAAAAATATACCAGTTTACCCTTATGATATTCCAGTCATTAGTCATCTTTTTAGACATTCATTTGAATAGCTTTTTAGATACGACCAAACCATGAAACCTTAGTATGTAGTATACATTTTTTTATTTATTTTTTAATTCTTATATGTTCCTGGAAAATGACACCCTGAATGTTCACACGTCACAAAATATTCGACTCATTTTGTAAAAAAATTAGTTAATTTATAATTAGCGAATCACTGTCTCGATATTTTATCGAAAATTCCAAAATAATATCATGATTTTTCCAGATTAAGGTTGACGCTCAACGCATCTAATTCTTGAGGATATTACAAAAAATGGAGACCACAGAGTCTAGAGAAGAAAAAAAAAATCTATTATTTTTTTCTGTGTTTTCAAAATAAACATTAACATTTTACTTTGCCTCTGTGACCTGCATACAAGGAGAAACAAAAAAGGATAAGATAGGCCTCATAATCGGTAAAGATACAAAAAAATGTAAAGCAGCAACACTATCAAAATTTAAAAAAAAAAAAATCAAAACCAAATATAAGCAATATATTGTATCAAACTAACTGACTAATTGACACACCAACGTAATCGTATAGCAACATGTTAAGTGTTTTAGTGACTAAAATATTGTGTAAAGTATCTAACTTCTAGTCATTGAATGTTTTTCATTGATATTATTTTTTTTGTCAAAGATCGGCCACTTTTACTGCACCGGCTGATCTAGAAGCACATAATATAAGTACATGCGTAGTTTATAATTTTTGTTATTTAACGATAATTATGTTGCAGTCGCTTCTTGTCTTAACTATTGATGTAGGGAGAGTCTTAATATTTTTTTATTCTAAATAAACGAATTAACCTCAATTGACTATGATTTTGTTTAATTTCAATTTAAGTCCCTTAATTCGCAAGAGAACAGAAGATGAAGACACGAAACTGGGTATTGCACATCACGTATGGAGTGACCCACACAGCAAAAAATGGGCAGATGCCAAGTAGTGAACAACATTGGTTCGAAAGAAAATCCAATAAAGCTGGATCATAACTTCAAGAAAGCGAAGACATTTTTAGCAAACCATCAGTTGACATAGAGGCACTCGGACAGTTTTTATCGGAAAAAAGTTCTCCTTTTTCGAGTCAATAGAAAAACTGATTCAAAAATGATCGTAATCTTCTTTCAATATAAAATATAATAGAAATCAGATAAAAATGCTACTTTGAAATTGTGCCATAGATTCTCGTTAAAAGACCTCTAGGTTTACTTGAAAAAAAAAAAAAAAAGTGTGACGTTATCTGAACCCAGAATGCAGCTTCATAACTGAGATAGGAATTTTGTCTTCCTTTATAACCACCAAACTTCCTACTTTCAGTGAACTTTGACACTGTTTCCTCCATTTGGTTCTTGTCTGCATCTCGGCGATCTATATCCCGGTTGTGAGGCTACTGATCCCGAAAACGTGTTTCAGATGAAATTTTATCCGTCTGACACCTGCCTCACCTAAACCTTCGAAATAGGATGCTCTCGGCGTTCTATTTGCTACCAGTTCCAACGCAAGTTTTTTTGAAGCATTGAATTCACTTCAACCAAGGTGGTATCGTTGTGGTATCATTAACCCAATAAAAGTGCAAGAGCTTCAAGCAATAAATCTTTCCAAAACCCCCTGATTGGTCATGTCACTAACAACATCTAAATGAACAAATTTCATATTCGTGCAAATAATGATACATAATTTATGTGACCCTTCAAAATCAGATTTTTTTTCTGTCCCTTAATAAGATTGGCCTGGCATAATTAACCCACACAATCACATTGTGTATCCGTCCACCTACTCTTATCAACCCAGTTCATCACAAAACGATTTTAGAAAAAATATTTTGCTTGGACTAACCAAAGGACGTTCATTTTTCAACAAATAATAATCCTTTGCCAATGACAGTTTTTGAGACATTTACACTTGCCGGGTCAGTGATTCAATAAGCTCTGCAGCTATGGAAAGACCAACGGCGACATTTTTTTTTCGAGACCTTTAATAAATTTAAACGAATGGGCAGAAAATCTGTGAACCTTGACCAATAAGAAATGAAAATCAGGAATTTCTTCAACATAGACTATATGAGAAACAACCTTTTGTTCGGGCATAAATTCCTGCATATTAGGTATGCAAATGTTAAGGATTCTAAAAAAATGTATCTGGGGACACAGAACTTGTGTAACTCTATTTGCTACAAGAGTTTCCAAGCGGCTTGGGCAACATAATGTTATCGAAGGATCAGTCCAGCAATAGGCATTCTCAATTTTTAATTTTGTCGACTGTTTCACCTTCTCCATGAGCCGGAAAGTAAGAGCATAAGAACAGCTAGAGCAACTCCAAGCACGTTAAACTTATCCTTTCAATGGGTGCCCTTGTATTGGACAGCAGAGTTTTAGAAAAACTTTATCCGCCTAAACTGACCCACCAGAAGCCTTCTCTGATGTGTTTGCGAACCGGTAAAGATGAATCACTTCCTAGTTTTCATTGAAGACATATACCAATATTAAAACTCGATTCACAAACGTACCCCAAAACCCTTACAGAACTCTAAACATTTGCTGGAAATGAAAGAGGGAACTTGCTCATCCCAGGACAATTTTTCTTGCCACAAAAGCTGGAATATACGCCGAGAAGTGACTACGACTGGACCTAAGAGACCTATAACCGGGCAAATATTTGACTCACAACCGACAAAATTATTCTTTTGGGAATAACGACATCAAAGATAAAATGTTTATTGCGAATAAATGTATGGTATCATTGACAGCATTCCAAAATATAGATATCCAAGGTTTTACTCTATTCATTCTTTCCTCAATGTAAAATACTAAACGATAAATTCTTATGCACCTCAAAATAACTCATAACTCTGGTTTGTTATGCAGCCACTATCTCAGCCAATATCTCAGCTCAGCACTCACCACAACCTAGAATGAATAAAATGTTCACTTATTTCTTCTCCTAAATGTTTTAGGCTCCCTTTTATCTTATCTACTCTTTAGATATAAATACCACCTTCTTTATACCCCAAACGAGACTCCAAATTGAAGAATTTATTTGATGGAGCAGATATACCTACCTAGACTAACTTGTGAATTGTGCTTGTATAATGTTTCTAGATTTTTCCTAATGTACTGCATAACAGAATATGTGTAATAACCTTCTCATTTATGTAGCCTTGATACGATGATTTCTCTTGGGCTTGTATATTTTCTCTAATACTCTTCTGCATTTGTATGGAGCCCAAAGGCTGAGCAAATTTCTGCACAGAACAGTCTACGTAAAGTAAGGCTAATCTGTCTAGGAATAACAGAGACTATGTCAACTTGCCCCACCACAGCCTCTTTTTCACCTATATATAAAAAGAAGAGCAGAATACATGCCTATACAGGCTATTCAAGACAAAAAGATTTAAATCTGGTGATCTGAATGGCCACTCAAGCATCCTTCAATCTATAAAGCTGGAGTGCCAAAGTAAACCAACAGATCATGAAGATCACTGGACTTTGACATTCCATATGAAGTGGTTGTAAAAGCCAATCATGGAAGAAGGAAAAACCTACCGCACGCGGACAACGCATCTTGTGATCCACAGATGGTTCGTAACTAACGGAGGGGATCGGTCTGGGGAATAACTGGACCAAACTTTAAAACTTTCCTTAGCAATGGGTAAAACGCCCACAATATTCCAAGCTGAGGTTACTGACCATAAACATCTGTGCCCAAGAGTGCCTTAAAAAAGAGGCCTTTAAGAGAGCACATTTACATACTGTCGGACAGTTAAGCGGCTCTAAAGGATCTAGGAGCCATCAGATGCAATTTGCTAGTTTCGGAGGATAAAAATACTGGCGTGAACTTGGCAGCCAAAAGTAGACTCCTGTGTCTATCCGAACGATAAGTGGCGTGTTTTGTTTTTATGTGGATAAAATTGATCCAGTTATTGTAGGTAAACAAGAAAATACTGCAAATGGATCCAAAACATGTGTTTGAAGGTAAACAAAGAATTAAAATAATTGAAATATCAATTTTTCACAAACTTACGAACGGGTTTTTTGTTTTACGCCCACATTTTCTTCTCAACCAGGTCAAGTGAAAACTGCTCTAGACATGATGGACTCATTTTGGGGCACCTTACTTGACTTGCAAATTGGCCCTAGGGTGGTTTTCGGAGGGTAAGACCAAAAAAAAGTAAAAAGCAGGAATATCAATTTTTCACAGAATGACGTGTCTTCCGACGTTTTCTTGGGTACAGGTCAATTGCGCGCGGAAGGTACGTTCTACCGATATCTTCCGTTTATCACCCAAAAAGGCCAGCCAGGGAACGATTGCGCGCAGAATGCATATTAGGTGCATACCTGGTAATTTCACCAGCAGGGGGTTGCCCACATTGGTTTTTAATTTGCTTCCAAATGAGAATTCCGAAAGTTATTGTGAGGATTTCCAATTAATAACTGATTATTGTAAATCAGTAGATTTGAATTTATATTCCAAACATATAGTGAGTAAGTAGGTATATGATTTTGAGAGAGCCATCCATCTCAATATGAAGAAAAGTTGGCAAAATACTGAGATTGTGGGGTGTAGATTTTATTTAACACAGTCGTGGTTTAGAAAAATACAAAGCCTAGGGCTAGTTAGTGAATATCGTAATTTAGACTCATAGGCAAATGGTTACACGTTTTCTTCACAACCAAATGTATTGGAATCTGTTGCCAGGCACCATAGGAAGATTTTAGGGCACCTAACTTGACTTGCAAATGGGTCCAAGGATGGTTTTTGGGGGTAAAACAAAAAAATTGAAAAACTGTGTTTATCAATTTTTCCCAGAATTACGTGTCTTGCGACATTTTCTTCACAATCAAATGTATTGGAAACCGTGCCTAGGCACCATGGGCACATTCAAGGGCACCTTAAACTTGACTTGCAAATGGGTATCTGGATTTTTGGTCACTTCGGTATTGTTTTTCGGCGGTTGAGAAGTCAGAGTGAAAGGTCAGTATAGTAGTGCGTGATATAAAACTCGTGCAGGTCGTTGTACCGTGGAAAACCCGCCAGTTAGGGCGTAAAAACTAAAATAAGAAACCATAGGATATTCAAGACGTAAAATTTACTGGTGGAAATTGGACAACTTAGAAGTTCCAAGTGCTAGTAACATTGGGTCCAAGGGTGGTTTTTAAGGGTAAAACAAAAAAATTGAAAAACTGTAATTATCAATTTTTCACAGAATTACGTGTCTTACGACATTTTCTTCACAATCAAATGTATTGGAAACTGCCTAGGCACCATGGGCACATCCAAGGGCACCTTACTTGACTTGCAAATGGGTCCAAGGGTGGTTTTTAGGGGTAAAACAAACAAATTGAAAATTTGTAATTATCAATTTTTTACAGAATTACGTGTCTTGCGACATTTTCTTCGCAACCAAATGTATTGGAATATGTTGCCAGGCCAGGCACCATCGGAACATTTAAGGTCACCTAACTTGACTTACAAATGAGTCCAAAGGTGGTTTTTAGGGGTAAAACAAAAAAATTGAAAAACTGTAATCATCAATTTCTCACAGAATTACGTAGTGTCTTGCGACATTTTCTTCAAACCCAAATGTATTGGAATCTGTTTTCAGGCACCATAGGAACATTTTAGGGCACCTTACTGGACTTGCAAATGGGTCCAAGGGTGGTTTTTGGGGGTAAAACAAAAAAAATTAAAAACTAGAAAAATCAATTTTTCACAGAATTAGGTACGTGTCTTCCGACATTTTCTTCACAACCCAAATGTATTGCAATCTGTTGCCAGGCACCATAGGAACATTCTAGCGCACCTAACTTAACTTGCACATGGGTCCAAGGGTGGTAAAACAAACCTTGGACCCATTTGCAAGAAAGTGAGGTGCCCTCAAATGTGCCCATGGTGCATAGGCATAGATTCTAATACATTTGGTTGTGAAGAAAATGTCGCAAGACACGTAATTCTGTGAAAAATTGATAATCACAGTTTTTCAATTTTTTTTTGTTTTACCCCCAAAAACCATCCTTAGACCCATTTTCAAGTCAAGTTAGGTGCCCTAAAATGTTCCTATGGTTCCCAGCAACAGATTCCAATACATTTGGTTGTGGAGAAGATGTCGCAAGACACGTAATTCTGTGAAAAAATGATAATTACAGTTTTTCAACTTTTTTGTTTACCCTTAAAAACCACCCTTGGACCCAATGCTACTAGCACTTGGAACTTCCAAGTTGTCCAATTTTCACCATTAAATTTTACGACTTAAATATCCTGCTTTTCTATTTTGATTTTTACCCCCTTACTGACGGGTTTTCCACGGTACAACGACCTGCACGAATTTTATATCGCGCACTAGGTACTATACTGACCTTTTATCCTGACATTTCTAACGCCGAAAAACAATGCCGAAATGACCAAGATCCCGTTTTTTTCTTTCAAAATGAATCGCGAATGTAGCCCCATAACCAGTTCAAATTAAAGATTTGTGCTTGCAAAATTAAGTAAAACAACGGGTGACACGAGGCTAAACCTTATGGCCTTTCCGGTTGGCATTTAGACAAAACGTACAACGGCTTAGCAATAGGCGTTTGAAGTCAAGCGCTAATCGGCTATTGCTAAAACGGTGTACCTTTTGTACCGACTTTGCTAATCGCGTGTATTTTGTTTTTGAGAGTTACGCAGTGCACATTAGCATTTGCTAATCAGCGGTATGTTTTGCCTAATTGATATGAGCATGAGCTTGCTGATAGAAAATAGAAGATGTAGTTTTATCATTGTCGGTTTTACCCATCTAATAATAAACAAGAAAATGCAAACTTACCCAAACTAACCCGTCCGCCTGATGCGATCTAGTCCTCGTAAATGACCATTTTATTAATTTAAAAAAAAAAAGTTAATTTAGTTTAGTGCATAGCGTCCCTCAAGCGCACTTCATTTTCACGTTAAAATACTAACTCACGAGGACTAAATTATAGCACTAGGCACCAGGACGGGTTATTTTGGGTTAGCTTGGGTAAGTCTACATTTTCTTGATTATTATTCATTCTTGGTTGGCTTGATATCTTTCATTCATCACTCACTTGTAAATTATGCTGTTAATGTAATATATGGATGTATATGCCTGACTCTATTTCAGGCATTTGTCAAATCACGATTGCGGGTATAGACAAATACAAATCCGTACAAAACGTCTATTGCTAATCCGTTGTACGTTCTGCCTAAATGATGCGGGCGTAAGGTACACCGTATTAGCAATAGCCAATCAGCGCTTGACTTTAAACGCCTATTGCTAAGCCGTTGTACGTTCTGCCTAAATGCTTTCGGTTGATAGAATTAGCACAGAGAAAATGTATTTTTCTACGAGCGTGCGGAAAAGTGTACTTTTGCGCAGTCATTTTAGGTCATGAAAGTACCACTTTTCCGCACTAGTGCTTTTCAGCTTCTTCTCCGCACTCAGTGCGGAAAAGAAGAACACGTGAAATTTTTAGGTATACAGTTACTTACAGGTATACAGGTATACTACAGATACAGGTACGGAAAAGTGAAAAAAAAATATCTTAAATTGATAAATATGTACCTAGGTAAAAATATTAACTTTCATCTCGTAGAAAAAATAGTGGTCCTAACTTGTGCGGAAAGCTCTTTTTCGCACTTGATTGCTTGCCGAACTCCGCTGCGCGTCGTTCGGCAAACTGCGATCGCGTGCGGAAAAGTGGTACTTTCCGCACTAGTTAGGAAATATACTATTCTATCTATTTCTTTAACAGGCTGAAAGAGATGAAAATACGCTCAGTGGGGAGGCTCGCGCTCTAATTTGTTTGAGAGAGGTAGGTTGCCTGATAACTTTTATGACGTCATCTGTGGTGCCTCAATTAATGCAAATCTCCATAGGGCACCCCAGATGCGTCATCAAGCTACCCAATCCATTACCAGACAACCTTTAACTTTAGGAACCTTGGCTCGCGCTTTTCTAATAAACCTCCCCGTTTTACAATAAGTTTAATACTTCTTTATAAATCTGCAACACAGCGCAACCGGGGCGCACTAGGATTAACGTCAAGCGGCGGGTGCGCTTTGATAGTATTATTTGCATCTTTCTTTATTTCCAATTCCAAACGAAGACAGAACCACTCAAGCTTGAGAGCGTATCTATAATATAAAATCTGTTTTTTATTAAAGATAAAAACTTTTACTCTTGTGGTATCTACCTCCCGCTTTTCAATTTCCAAAATCTGGCAACCAACCCTAACGTTAAGGTAGTTTCACACAGGCCATTTTTATAATACGAATAGGTGTCGGGAACATGGAAAACTATGATATTTTTGGACGCAGATATTTATGTAACGTAACGCGTCAAATGATCAGCGAGAATGAACAATATTTTGCAAAATTTAAGTCAGATTATTAAATAAAAATAGCAAATTTAAGCAACAAATCACGTGACTGAAAACGCCCCCTAATTGGCTGAAGCCAATATTCATTCCGCTTGCTTGTTGCCACATTATAAATGCGAAAATAGACTGTTAGCAAAGATGCCACGTTTTGCCCTATTTGCACAAATTGATTATACTTTGGAATTTTATGTAATAATGTAACAAATATGCAAGGATAATACACTACTATAGGATAGCTTATCCTCATGAGGCCTGTGTTGATCAAATCTCAAGCCCCCCACCACGCTAAAGAACCAGTGATGACGAAATAGCGAGTCGGCGCCTTGACGCAGGGTATTTGCACCACAGGTTATGATGCCGCGAGGTTTTGCTTTATGCATACATTATTAACATTCTAAAACAACGCTTTTTTAGCTCTCGGTTGCATCTTCCTCTTTGCCTATTATGGCGCAAACAGCTGACGACGTAGTTGATGACGTCGTCAATGGTACTACACAATATGGCCGCGATTCCCAAAAAAGAGGCCGATAAGCAATCCTGTGTAGTAGTCGGTCTGTTTCTGCAGAAATCACAAACCAGTCAGAGTGAATTTGATTGGTTGAAACTAGTTTTCTGACCGTTTTCAACCAATGAAATTCGCTCTGGCTGGTTTGTGATTTCTGCAGAAACAGACCTAGTGTGTATTATCCTTGATAGATATGTACATATATAAATCTAAAACTATGATACATATTTTTTTCTTTTTTTTTATTGCTCCTGAAAATTAGCACATCATCTTTATTGGTAATGGTTCCCAGACATACAGAGATTTTAAAAAAGACTTGGCAACATGGAGACAAACATTCACAGCAAATTCTATTCTACCAGTGCAGATTTTTTTTTATCTCTTTCCTATACAAGTTGGTAGAAAAAGAGACGAATACACTCAGTGCCCACTAACCCTTCCAATAAAATTCGCTATTAGGTTTATTGTTTATTCAATTAGGTAACAAGATTTTACCAATTATACCTATCCCCTATTTTTTTATAGCTTAGTAAGGTGGTGAGCTGTCTGTGAGACGAGGAGTTTTATTTCCAGTATATCTAACGGATAGCTTTGTCTTTGTCTAATTGTCGATGAAAGACAAGGATATAAATAGCCCGACTTAACTTGAACGCTTCCCCGATAGGAATGCAAACACAACAGAGATTATGAGTTTCGATTCGAGGAATCTACATAAGCTAGACAAATATAGATATACCTATTCACGTCGGACTCGAGATAAAATTTATTTACGACTCTTATGAGAAATTTGGCATCCTCGCATTTTTGGGCCTCCTGACCACTCTGACGTCACATTCTTAGCCCGCGCTTTTTTCACAGCCGAATTTTGTCAAAATAAAATAATTATATCGATTTATTTCTTTCAACAACTGCAACACAAGACAGCCTTAATATCATTTTTTCTCCAGGAAGGTTTTATTAATAAGAAAACACCGTTCTGGAGTTATAAATAATACAAATAAAATTCCTGCCGCCAGGTGGCGCTGTCAAAAAAACCGCCGAACCTAATCATTTTTGACATCTTTTCGTTCTCTTTTCCTTGGCTCTTCAACTCGTTAACATCTAGTGATTGTTCTTGATTAGAATTTATTATTTTCTTTTCTATATCTACTTGTTTGTGTTGAATACAGCTAAAACTGATAATATGGCAGCAAAAGGTAAGAATTTTAAGTACAATATTAACATAAAAACCGAGAAAATAGTAGAGGACCCCTTCCCTTCCCCAATGGAACACCAGATTACCAAATAATCCTGCGCCTGCAGCATGGTACTACTTTCGCAGTCTTTATAAAATATATTTTTTGTATTTAGACTGCGTCCATGCATTTTTTTCTTAAATTAAATAATTTTTATCCACTATAAACAGGCTCATTGCTATGTAAGTTTTTGAAACCTGTGAAGAAGGCAGCCATTTTCCAGCGGCCATTTTGCAATTCGTAAAAAAACCAAATAAAAAACCGGTCACGATTTCCACCTCGCAAATAATTTGTTAGGGTTGATCTTGATTCTTGAAGTATCCACCCCCATGGAATAAATAATTGAAATATTTTAAAAAATCGTGATTGAGTTTCACCGAGAGTTCCACCTTCGAATTTATTGTGATTGATATTTCACCCACTAAGGGCCAGTTTTCTGGACAGCAAGTCACCCAACGGTTGAGCATAATTCATCCCAGATAAACATTGCAACTGGAGACGTATACCCTGGAGTTAAAACCAACCCGTAGGTGACTCGCTATTGAGAAACCGACCCTAAGGAGTTGTGCTTTGGTAGGGGTGTTTATTGGGAGCGAAAAAACATGCAATTTTGTTTAATTTTTTTCCTAAATGGGGGTAGATATTTCACCCCTGGCGGCCACTAAGGGGTTGTCCTTTAGTATAAGTGTTTATTGGAAGCCAAAACCCAAACAATGCAAATTTCAAGGTGTAACTCTATTTCGAAATAATTTTGTTGAATTTTTTTCCTAAATTGAGGCTGATATTTTACCCCCGGCGCGGCGGCCACTAAAGGATTGTAATTTGGTAGTATTGTTTATTGGAAGCCAAAAAAACAAACACTGCAAGTTTCAAGGTGTAATTCAATTTCGAAATAATTTTGTTTAATTTTTTTCCTAGATGAGGGTTGATATTTTACCCCTGGCGGCCACTAAGGGGTTGTGGTTTGGTATGAGTGTTTATTGGAAGCCAAAAACAAACACTGCAAGTTTCAAGGTGTAACTCTATTTCGAAATAATTTTGTTTAATTTTTTTTCCTAAATGGGGGTTGATATTTTAACCCCGGCGGCCACTAAGGGGTTGTGCTTTGGTGGGAATGTTCATTGGATGCCAAAAAATAAACAACTGCCAGTTTCAAGGTGTAACTCTATTTCGACATAATTTTGTGGATTTTTTTTCCTTTCACCCCCGGCGGCCACTAAGGCGTTGTAATTTGGTAGGAGTGTTTACTGAAAGCCAATGAAAAAAACAAACACTGCAAGTTTCAAGGTGTAACTCTTTTTCGAAATAATGATAATCATTTTCAGCTTTCTCCTGCCATAAAAGTATTTTCCATTGAGCCCCTAGGGGCTGTTTATTCTTAAGAAATTTAGAAAAAAAAAACTACCATCACTATTTATGCACCAATATTGACCAAACTAAACTGCTGGACAATTGCTTTCGAGCAAGGAAATTTTTCCCCCCAACTTTCAAGCTCAGTAGTTTTGGAACCAGACCAAATATCGACCTCCGGTTTTCACGGGGTAACGGATTGACTTTTTGTGAAAAAAATTGCTATATGAAACCAGAGGTCAATATTTTGGTTCCAAAAATATCGAGCTTGAAAGTTAGGCGAAATTTCCCTTTTGCTCGAAAGCAATTGGCCAGCAGTTTATATAACTGATAGCTGATGATAGTTTTTAAAGAGCTTTCTGCTGCCATAAAATTATTTTTCGTTGAGCACCTAGGGGCCGTTTAATCCTAACAAACTTAAGGAAAAAAGTGCTATCATCGCTATTTATACACCAAAATTGACCAAACTGCATATTTGCTGATAGTTTTGGAAGGGCTGCCAGGAAATTATTTTCCTTTGAGCCCCTAGGGGCCGTTTACTCTTAACAAATTTGGGAAAATACTTCCTACCAGTGCTATTTTGGCACTAAAATTAACCAAACTTTATATATGATGATAGTGTTTAAAGGACTTGCTGCCATAAAAGTATTTTCCATTAAGCCCCAAGGGGTACTAAACTTCTAATAAATCTAGAGAAAAAAAACGGCTCCTAGGGGCTCAATGGAAAATATATAATTTTAGGGTAGTAGAAAGTCCTTTTTAAAAACTATCTTCAAACACAGGGTGTTAATAAATAGTTGGATCAAACTTCTAGGATAAATAGTACTTATTAAAATAAGAAAAAAATTAATAGAAACATGGGTCCGCAAATGCTTAGTTTTCGAGATACAGGGTGTCAAAGCCTGAAAAAATAAGTTTTTCAAAATCTGTTTCCCGAATTTCTTTAAACTTGGCAAATTTGTTTGTGATAACAAAAGGTATCTTTTGACTCAACTAGATTCACCGTAATTATTCCAGTGGCGCTCCAGAGGGCAAATACGTAGATAAAAGTAGAAAACAAAATGGCATGTCACTATTTTTTTATAGCGTTGATATTTTTTCAAATTAAGCAAGTCATACTACAGTCAAAAAAAAACCTATTGTTATCACAAACAAACCTGCGAAATTTGAAAGAAAATTGGAAAAGGGATTTTTGAATTTAAAAAAAAAAACGATTTTTTTTTTCAAACTTTGACATCCTGTATCTTGAAAACTAAGCATTTGCGGACCCATTTTTTCTTATTTTAATGAGTACTATTTATCCTAGAAGTTTGATCCCACTATTCATTAACACCCTGTATAAGGTTTGGCTAATTTTAATGCATTAATAGCACTTGTAGCACGTTTTTTCCGAAATTTGTTAAAATTGAACGGCCCCTAGAGGCTCAATGAGAAATACTTTTATGGTCGCAGAAAGTCCGTTAAAAACTATTATCAAATATAAACTTTGATTATTGTTGGTGCATAAATAGCGGTGGTGGCACGTTATTTCCTGAATTTGTTAAGAGTAAAGTGAGTTTTTCTATATTTTGATCAGCAAACTATTTTCTCCCTAATCCAACTTTGCAGGTGCAGGCGAGAAGGATGGAGAATATTTTCTAAAACTGGCCAAGGCGGAATGCGACAGGCTGATGACTATGGCAAACACCGCTGACAATGATCTTAAAAATCTTAATTTATCTGAGGAAAATAAAGGAAAACTGAGGGTTGCCAGTGGAAAAGCTAAGCTGCTGACGACCAAGAAAATGGAGCAATTCAAACAGTTATGCATAAAAAACATTGATAAGGTGGGTACTGGAACATAAAAATCTCTGTGCTAACTATTTTTTTCTATTTCAGAATCATGGAGATTATCAACCCGTTACTAACAATGATCTTGAAGCCTACTGGGACATCTTCATGATTCAAGTGAATGATTTGGATGAGCTTTTCGGGGAAATCGAGCAATTACGAGCAAATAACTGGAAAAAGGTAAGAAAAGACCAAGATCACTTGATAATTTTTATTTGGCCTTTCCATTGTGTATTAGTAATATAAGTACATCAATTCTCTCTATTTTTGTTAACAGGAGACTGGAAAAGGAATGCAGCAGCCGGGCCCCTCCAAACCCCGCAGAGACCCGCCCGGTAAAGACCCGAAAGGCAGGACCTCATGGCCCTAGGAACGTCAGCAAACGCTCTGTCCTTAGATTTAAGTTTTTGTATTCGAAGAATTTTGTCAAACGTTCTGTCCTTAGATTTAAGTTTTTGTATTCGAAGAATTTTGTCAAACGTTCTGTCCTTAGATTTAAGTTTTTGTATTCGAAGAATTTTGTTTGGTCCTATTAAAATAATAATTAACCATTAAACATTTTGACCATTGCTGTTTCTTTTATTTATTAGAATTTTATGCAACCTGTTTGAAATCGAAAAAAAAAAGAGAAAAATGGTTACATGTGGTACTTTGATGAAAATTTAAAATTTGGGAATTAGCAAATATTTTCTAGAAAGGAAATGAAGTAATATAATTGAATAAATTTCCAATTTAAAACAATTCACAAAGTGCATTGAAGTCTGCATAATTGAACAAAATTTTCAATGAAACAATTCACAAATTGCATTTTCTCTTTCTGACAGTGTGAATATTTTCCAGATGGAAAAATCACAATACAAGCGTCAAGTGTACCATACACTTAATGCTTGTATATGACTTTTACATGTGGGAAATATTTTGATTAGATTCGTCACACTGTCAGGAAGATGCACTTTTGTGAACTAATATAGTAAAGTTGTAACCATTTTGTCACAGTTGTAATTTCTGATATGGTATGATCGCTTGTGTTGCACTGACGTGAACCAATAGGTTTGAGACCGATCTATAGCTAGCAAAGTATCCGATGAAAAGGAAATTGATTTACCTACAGCAGCTGATCGATATGCTAGGAAAACAATGAGCTCAAATATTCATAACAGAAAGACAAAATTTATGATTATATCTAGAAATCTGAATGTAGGTATTTGAAGACTTCAGTATAGCATTTAGCATTCAATGCAATGCCTATAGAAAGATTTTACAGGAACCCGGATAGGTATAGGTACTCTAAAAACCTGATAAACAATTAGATACACGAAACAAGAAAAAATTAAAACTCTAATAAGAAAAGAGGAACAACAATGGCCAACACTGAATATTATTACCTACAAGATTTTTAACAAAAACAAAAAGACACTAATAACTGCATACAAAGTACTATACGAAAAGAGACCACTGGAACCAAAATTGCAGAACACCAGACCAACACAAAAAGAGGATCAGGAACCGTGTAATCAAGAATAGCTCAACATGTAGGTATATAAATAATCAACACAAACTACAGAGTTCGCTTGAAAACCTCTATATAAGACAGTCAAAACGTTGCGACAATAAACCAAAAGGTATTGGAAGTCCAAAGTTTTGTGTTCTTTGAAACATTATTACAAACCACCTTCAAACAAACACAGACCAACATAATTTGCAATTTTGAAGCTTATCAGGATCCATGCCCCTTGAATTTATATCAGCCTGATTCACTTCCGAAGGAATGTGACGCCACTGATAAATTTCAGAAAACCGCTGAATTTCGGAAATTCTGTTTGAAACAAATGTATTTAATTGATTAGGTGGCAAAGATATCCATGAAAAAACTATAGTGGAATCTGTCCAATAATAAAATTCATCAATATTTATTCCTAATGACTCAGCTGTTGTGTCAATTTAATCGATAAAATAGCTCCACAAAGCTCTAGATGGGGCAAAGACAATGTCTTTAATGGTGCTACCCTGGACTTTGCCCATACCAGAGCAACATGGAAATATCCAGATGAAACAGTCGATCGCAAGCAGCGACAAGCCCCATATGCTCTCATGGAGGCATCACTAAAACCGTGAAATTCTATTTTTACGGACATGGGAAAAATTAGTTTCCCGGGAATTTTAACTTCATTGAGAAGTGGAATTTTGTTATGAAATTGAAGTCTATTTTCATGGGTACACTTTCGTCTCAGTCGAGCCCTAGGTGCCACAATATTTGAAGCATGATTTCAGCTTTGATTACACAGGGTCCTATTATTAAGCCCATGGGGTTGAAAATTTGAGCTGTAGTGGAAAGTATGATGCGTTTCGTGACCTGAAGCTTTTCAGGAACCTGAATGCTATAACAAAATGTGTCTTGCCAAGTTAGACTGAGAGTTTTTGTTGCTTGATCATCAGAAATGAATTTCTCGGTCGAGGAACAAACCTCATGATTGTTGCTAAGTGAAGCGTCATGGTTTGTTACCCATTTGCTCAAATTAAAGCCTGCAGATTGAAGAATTTGAATAATTGTGTTATGAGGGTTTGGCTATGTTCAGTTGAGTCAGAGTCACAAAGAAAATCATCAACATAAAATGATGACATAATTTTTCCACAAGCATCAGGAAACTAAATTTGATTATCAATGGCAATTTGTTGTAAGCTTCTTATAGCTAAAAAAGACGTACTAGCCGTGCCATAAGTGACTGTGTTTAGGGTGAAATGTTCAACCTTATGAAATGAGTCTGACTTTTTGAAAATTTCGTTGACTTGGTTCTACCATCACACAATGATACATTTTCTCAATATCAGCTGTGAAGGCGAATTGGTAAGTTCGAAATCTGGATGACTGAATCAAATAAATTGTCCTTAATTTGGGGCTGACCAAGAGTATTGTTTAATGATACGCCACTGGAAGTTTTTGCAGATCCATCGAATGCCACCCTAAACTTGGTCGTGATACTGGAATCTTGGAAAACTCTATAATGCAGAAGGAAAAATTCATTTATGTTGGGAGTTTGTGAATTGGGCGAATCAGTAACCTTCGTCATGTGACCAAGTTTGTCGTATTCAGTGATAAAAGAGGAATATTGGGCCTTCATTTAAGGATTTTTATCAAGACTCCTTTCTAAAGCGTAAAAACGTTTAAGGGCCATATCGAAGGAATGTCTTATTTGATTTATGTTTTCCTTGAAGGGCAAATTCACAACGAATTTGCCTGAGGGCTCACGATTAGTGGTGTTTATAAAATGATTTTCACATTCATCCTCTCATTTATAGTTGTTGTTAAATTGCACAAAATGGTTTTTGAATCAGTAGTTGGAAGCGAGCCCGAAACAATCCATCCTAATTTTGTTTTTTTGCATTATTGTTTGATTATTTGACAAAATTAGTTGACCTACACACAATAAGTTCCAAAAGATGGAGGCTCCTAAAAGTAAATCTATTGGAGCAGGATCGTTAAAATTGTCATCAGGAAGAGTGAGGTTTTTGGGAATATTTAATTCAACCAAAACCTTGCACGGAATAAGTATATTGTTCGCTGGAAGATTAAGGGCTGATACTTTTGCTCTCGATTAACGAATTTGATATGTTGTCAAAGTTTTGCATGGGTCAAGGGGTATATAAGTATGATGTGGCTAGAGCACATTCAAAGCCCTGATTATTTTTAACGGCTGTCAAATGAGAGCAAAAGTACTGGCACTAAGTTTTCTAAACATATTAGTACTGAAATTTGATTGGGAGCAATTATTAAGAAGTGCTCGACAAATAAATGGTTGATTATTTGAGTCTAATACCTTGCCGGTAGCCAAAATAACGTAAGAAGTTTCATGAATACCACTTTGATTTTTTACCACCAATAATGAATGAGAGTTGTTAACTGGCTCCGAGTTATTTTCAGGACAATTTTGGGGTTGTGATTTGTGATTGAAAAGGGTTATTACTGGAATGACTTTGTGTACTTTGTTTAGTGTGCAGATAAATGCAATAATGAATTATGTTTGGATGAACATGTATCACAGGAGTAAGTACTGATTTTTGCAATCTTTTGAAGGGTTCCCCAAACGAAGGCAATTAGTGCAAGCACACAAATTTCTTATTTTGTTCAAACGATTTCCGAGGAGTATCGGAGAGCAAAATAATAATTCTCCCATTTCCTTCTGGTTTGCAATGTGAAGTTTTGAACTTGGATTAAAAATGACGATGGTGTTCCAGTAGTTAACAGGAAGGCCTAAAGATTCAAGAGCTCTCTCATCAAATGCTGGACAGAGGTGTCAATTAAGCCTCTAAGAAGGAAGTGAGATTACTTTGGGATTGATTGAATGGCATAAAGTTCCTTCAAATGAGTATGAATAATTGCTTTCTTATTTTCATAATGTTGACATGAAATTTGCCAATTATTTTCTGAAACCTCCAATGAGTTAAGGACATTAGCAGCTTTTCAAACATGATTTGAGATACCAGAATTTTCCAATTTTGCTGATTTGCGATGAGCTATGAATAAGTGATTTGAAAGTGTCTGCAAATTGAATCCAGCACTTATCATAGGACTCGTAAAATTCTGGTAACTTGATTTTTGGTAAATTTGCGTTTGATAAATTTGTGTTTGGTACATTTGTGAATTTACCTTTTCAAGGCAAGCTTGCAATTGATAAATTTTGACGGAGTCTGAGAAATTGTTTATATAATCTATAAACCTTGAAAGTGCCTCAAAAATCAGATTTCTAGAATAGGTCACCCCTGATTTTATCAGCCAGTTTCGGTTGCTCATCAGCATTCGCCTGATCATTAGCCATTGCAAATATGTTGAGGAAAAAGTTACATTATTTAATCTTGATAAATTGTTTTAAAATAGAAAATATCGGGGAAAATATTGATTGTTTTGTTATATAGAAATTGAAAATAAACTGCCAAACCTGTTTAATTTGGGACAAAAAATGGTAAAGAATGCAAACGCGAAAAAAAAACCACATGATAGCTCCCTCCAGAGCAAATGCAATAATTTTGACTAAAATAGTGGCTCGTACATAAGAAAATCAATTATACGCGCCCAAGCACAAATATATAGTTCATCAGGAACCACTCAAATTAATGATGAAAGTGTACTTACACTGACAAGTTGCTTGTTTTGTTTTATTTGTTTGTTCACCAACAACACGAAGGATCATCCATTCGTGACACTGGGAAGCCACTGCAAATATCTGCTCACTGCCGCCACAAAAAATGGCTTGATTTATGTTGTATGATTTTGATTCTTGCTTCTAAACACCATGAAATGAAATATTTTGCAATATATCCTGTTCAAAGGACCAATGAACGGGATTAAAATAGGCATTTCCATTTTCCGTCTTAAATGAGATTGCTGATATACTGGATCACAAGTGCACAATAAAACAACAGAATTAAATATTTAATCCCCAATTTATTAACTGAATGAGTAAGCATATATACCAAAACTTGAATAAGTAATATACCAAATGTCTTGAATGCTGTAACACAGCAAAGCATTCAAAGCAAAGACTGATAATATACTGAAATTCGTTTTTATCTTCAAAATATAAAATAACAAGGAGATGTAAACGGTGACCTAGATACCGAGACCCGGGTAAATACAAGAAAAAGGATAACAAAAAATTCTATTTTATAGCCGCAGGCACCAAGCTTGGGTTCAGGGTGTCGGTATGCGCCTTCATTGTTTTCTCTAAAAGTAGGGGAACCTGGGGAAGATTCAACCGGTTTGGATTTAACCCCTTGTATTTTAGATTTGAAACAAAAGCATGGCAAATTTTTATTGCGAATGCATATTTAGTAGGATACTAAACCATAATTTTATAATAATGCACAAAATTGCTTCATGGCCCACTTTACAATATTTTTTTTTCAAAAGTTGCGTTTGGTTGCATCTTCCCCAGGGGTCGGATTAACCCAACGTATGGGGAGGATTCAACCGCAGTCAAAAAACTGTTATTTATTCAAAATATGAAATTTATTGAACTTGCAAGAAGATATTTTAACAGGAAAACTTAACTTTTGATAAAATTTTGAATAATATAGTGTTTGGTTAGCGCACATTCCAGCCTTTAAAGTTGAATTTGAATTTTACCAAAAAGGCGGTTCTGGCAGTGCCAGACCTTTCCGGTAGTGGAAAAAGTGCCTTAAAATCGTGTCTTTCGGTAGATATGTCATCTTCAATTGGAAAAGCAAATAAAGTGGTTGAATTATTTTTACGCCTCAAAAATTTTGAGTCATTCTTTGGTCGTAGTCATTCAGATTCTTTTTTAAGGCTTGACTTATGTAATGAATGCTGTTTTTTTTTTGTACAAAATCCCACTAAAACAAAATCGTTGACTTTCACAAGAAAATCGTCATCCATTACGATAGGAAACTCGTCAACTGACGAATCAATATCGGAATCCACAAGTTCAAAGGATTCATCGTCGCTGTCGCTCTCAGATTCTTCGTAAAATTTTGGAAATATTTTACGTTTAGTTGCCCTCGATGATTTTAAATTATTCTTCTTTAACTTTTCCGCATCTTTCTTTCTAATTTCCTCCATTTCAGGTGTAGCCGTGTATATTTTTGATTTGCATTCCCTCTTTCTTTTTTTATTGTCTTCCCTTTTTGCTTTTGGTAGCGGTTTAATATCCTCCAAAACGTTTGTCTTTGATATGTTATCAGCTTCTACTTCAGGCCCCTTCGCTGTATTTGTGGACGTTGATGAGGTAGTTATTTTAGATTCAGCATGAGCACTTGTTGAAGCGGTAGGTTCTAAGTTATTAGTTCCATGCTCATTTTCTTTTCCTTCGATGTCCTTGTCGGTCACTGAACTCGCAGTAAACTCGTCTTCGCTAAAAGCTTGGCGATTCAGGGACCATATACCAGGTTTCTTAAAAGCACTTATGATATTAGACAAAGAAAAGGCCTTACTAAAGGCTATATTCAATAGTTCACCCAAGTTCCTTGTCGTTATTGCTTTGCCTGGGTGTGAAAGCGTCCATCAGTTGTCAAATAATGAGCCTTTAAATGGACCGAACACACCAACATCTAAAGGCTGTAACCGATGGTTGGTATGCGGCGGTAATGATAGAAGAGATATTCCATTTTGTTTGCAAATCCTAATTGACTCATGCGACACATGTGATTCGTGGTTATGTAATAGTAGGAGAATTGGTTGTTCTTTACTACAGTGGGAGTGGGTCTTCATGTGCTCCAATACTTTAGTAAATAGGTCTTTGGTCATTCACCCAGATATATTGTTTAAGATTTGAGATGAAGCTGGTGCTGCAGTAATATAACTCTTCGGGGTTTCGCATTCGAGGAACCACGTAAACTGGGGGAAGAGCTCTTCCCGCAGCATTTATTATTCCGACAAACGTGACTAACTCGCCTCTTTTGCCGGATGATATTTGGCCGACTTGTTTTTTCCCCTTTTCAGCACACGTATGGAAGTCTCATGACTGTGGTTATACCACTTTCATCTAAATTATAAATATGTTCGGCTTTAAATTTATATTTTTCCAGTAATGATGAATAGTTTCCGAAAAACTCATTCGCCCTATCTTTGTTGAAACCCGTGGATCGTAAAAGGCTGGTGCTTTCTGGTCTTCTAAGGCTTAAGGTTGAATTTCTGGACATAAAGCCAATCCTCACTTAGCAATAAAATTTGTCTTCATTATATTATCCAAAAATAATCTTTGAATAATACTTGCAGTCAAGTCAATTTAAACTTACCTGCGTTTTGATTCTCTTCCCATTTATTCGGCATTCTGCATTCGGGTATCCTCGATGCATATTCATATGCAAGACATTTTACTTGTTTATAGTTTGGGCCATAGTGTAGTGCTGTGACGACTTTTTTATATATGTACCAAGTTCTTCGGAGATTGTAAAAACTTGTTTGACGGAATGTTTGCTTTGAAACTTTCTTTCTTCTTCACCATCATCAGACATTCCTGAATCAGAAGATTTTATATATTTTTCTTCTTTGCCTTTTTTCTTAACATACTTAATTCTTGACATAAGTGTGTCTCTGTTAGTATCGTAAAGCCGCTCTGCCTCCCGTATGGATGTCTTTTTCCTAAAACAATCTTGTAAAGCCAGTTTAACTGCGCTTTCATCGACTGTTCGTTGAGCTTTTCTTACATATACTCTCGGCATCTACAAAACATCAACTAATATCCTCAAGAAATACAGTCAATTTAATATCACAATAACTATACATTCTTTTCCGTACCACTTTTGAAGTAGAATGCAGGGCGGGTTTTTTTTTTGACATGGTATCCCCAGTACCAGTAAGCCTAATCCATGTTCTCGATCTTAGGAAAACATTATCATTTTTTGCACATGCCTTCTTCCTCGCTCGTCTTCGTCGAGTTCCACTAGCACCTCGATCAACAAATTATCTTCGTCAGACGCTTCCTCTATATCTGCTGGCTCTATGTCTGTTGGCAAACCTTCTCTTGGCTCAAGGTCACTGAAATCTTCGATATTTTGCAACTCTATTGAAGGGTTCAAGCATGCCTGTCAGTGATACTGACCACAATTTTTGGAGCATGGCAGCCCGACTTTTCTAGACCCGCACTGCGCACCAAACCCCTTTTTACAATTACAGAATATTGTATTTAAAATAGTTCGTCTGGGGCAGTTGGCAGTAGTGTTGTTTTCGGCTCTAATATTCCGTTTTTCAAATCCCTACCCCATTCTTCGGGTTGTGAATTTTTCCAGCCAAATCTGAACTTGGTAGTAGACCCGATAAATATGCTGTCGAGCTGCTTCACTGGTAGGTGGAAGGGCTGATAAGATAATTTATTGATCGAGGTGCTAGTGGAACCCGACGAAGACGAGGAGGAAGGCATGTGCAAAAAATGATAATGTTAAAAAACTTCTTCTGAAATCGAGAACAGGGATTAGGCCTACTGGGGATACCATGTCAAAAAAAAAACCCGCCTGGCGTTCTACTTCAAAAGTGGTGCCGAAAAGAATGTAATTTTTGTTATGCATGTTATATTATCGATTATTTATTACAAATTTTATTACAAATAAACAAACAAATTTCTAACAATTTTATTATTGAAAGTTTTATTTTCCAGACGAACAAATTAGGAAAAATGCATTTAGTTATATGTAGCTCCGCAGTATAATACAGTATTACCTATTTTGGATGCGCGCTCCCGCTTTATCACGCTATATCTCGAAAACGGTTAGTCGTGCGGAAAAAAATTATAAATACAATTTTGTAGAAAATACTATTTTACGTAAGTTTTGTATTGAGTTCTTCGACGTCAGCTGCAATGGAAGCGAGTTTTTCGCGAAAAACCGATTTCCATGACCTTGACCTCGAGACGCACAAGGGTAGGCATATGACATTTTTTTGTGCTTCATTAAAACATCAAAATGAAGGTCTCTGCAAAAATTCAGCTTGTTCGGCCTCGTTCCGCGGATGACCCTTTTTTTTGTCTTTTTTCCCTGGGGTATTAAAATAATTTGGAGATAATAGTCGATGGTTGTATGTTCCCCGTGGTTGAATCATCCCCAAGTTCCCCTCCCTATATAAAAAATAAATAAACTCTATCAAAAGTTAGTACCAAAGTCTATGTTAGTATCTACATACTAATGAGGGTAAAAATAGGGCGCATTTTCTAGACCTTGACTTGAAAAAAGTTGTTATTAATAACTGTTTGGGGCCTGTGAATAAACGACCGTAACTATATTCTACCGATTCTATTTCAATTTGTTATACTTGAACTTCTACCACGATTTCAGACGTTCTGAACAAAGCTCGATGTTCTGAACCCAAGTTTTAGTTTGTGAAGATAATCCAACCGCTCTTCTCCACCCCATCTAAAAGATAGTTTTTGGGCGCTCGGCTCTTGCAAGTTTTCACGAATGCGAAGCGGTGAAGCTTCCAGTTCCATCCTCCAGTCTTTTCAGTCATCAGTCCTCTATGCATCAGTCGCATCCGCGCTTTTACGCACGAAGGCAAAAGCGGGCTTGTTGTGTTACCGTCACGTCACGTGCCACACGCGTTTATGTTTGTTTTCAAAAACAAAAACGCATAGGAAGTTTGTTTTTTTTCTGAGGTTCTGTGCTTATGGATTATAAACATGACATTTTGTGTTGTTTATTGAGGATTCTCGAAGCACTTGACAGTAGCATAATATAGGATTTTCTTGGAGATTTTTGTGAGTATAGCTTTGTTTTTCGAATATAATAAATTGACTATTGGTATTGTTCAATAGTCAATTTATTATATTCGAAAAACAACTTTGACCTCGAAGAATTTGAGGTACTAAATTTTCAAATATTAAATTGTTGAACTCTACTATCCGATGAGATGTAACCTTCGGGATATAACACATAAGTCAGAGTTTATATACATAGGTATTTCACTATTTCATCTCGATAGGGTACCTATAACCTATTTCTAAGGGAAAACTTTGCTGAAAGTAAAATAAAATTTCTAGACATTCTGATGAAAATACAATATGGCATGTCAAAGTATTCTGTACCAGGAAACATAGTTAAGTATTTTCGAAAATAATTGCAAAATCTACTCTACAAAAATAAAATAGTCTCCGAGTGAGGATAACTTTACGAGCTAGTTGCTACCAAATTAAATTGCAATGAATTGGGTATGTTTTTTGTATGGAAATATAATACCAAAAGGCAGTTAATTTATTAGTATTTTTAAACTAAAAGTTTATTATATAATAGGTGTGGTAACTAGGTTATTACTTCATGCAAGTGATGTTTACGAAAGGAGCCAGTGAGACATCAATATAAAGCGTGGTAAAAATCCAATTACCTACCACACGTACGACATACAATATTTCACATACGACCACTACCTTATGCTTATAGCTAAATTCAAAAAGAATTTTATCAACAAAACAAATGTGCGTGAAGGGCTAATGGTAAAGTAAAACGCACGACAGTCGACACAGACCATTCAGAAGCTGCCACCAGTGTTTTTGGCGAATACCTCAAACACTTCTAGTTTGTACTAAATTATTAGGATTGGAATAATGATACTTGATAGTTTAATGTAAATAAATAAAAAGGGTCATTTATTAGTTTAATAAAATTTAGACTAGACGACCCTATCAACATTTTCCAAAATGTAAGTACCTACCAACTTAAGTACAAAAGTAAACTGTGCCCTATTTGCTTCTTACAAACATTCATCACCTAAAGATAAATATTATAAATATGCATCAGAAACTGTAGAATATTAATTGGGTTATGAGCAATTTGGTGAGGCAATGTCGGATGAACAACATTCTTCATGACAAAAAACTAGAAAGAGGCAGGCACAATTAACATTTGAAAATAAGTCCCTGTAAATTTCAATATTTTAAAGGGCCCTGTTTAAAGGTATCATCATTGCAAAAAAAAATTGAAATGTAAAGAGGATCGTATGTCTGTGAAAGCAGATAAAGCTCGTCAAAGTACGTAGGTCCTGCTATGCTATGCATAGGAAATATCCGAGGAAATACACCCAGGTAGATTTTCTTTAATATCTCGAAAAATATTAATCCGATTTTGACGTTTTTGGGGTGCTTTTGTAGGTATCAAACCCCAAAAACGTCAAAATCAAATTAGTGTTTTTCGAGATATTAAAGAAAATCTACGTGGGGGTATTTCCTCGGATATTTCCTATGCATAGCATAGCAGGACGCAGGACCTACGTACTTTGACAAGATATACCTATCGGCTATCTGCTATCACAGACATACGATCGTCTTTACATTTCAATTTTTTTTTAGCAATGATGATACCTTTAAAATATTGTAATTTGGTTGAAATTTACGGGGGCCTATTTTCAATGTTAATTGTGCCTCTTTCTTTCATTTTGAAATATTTCCAAGGGCCATATTTTGGAAACCAAGAAAAGCTATGGTACGAAATTTCGTCCAATTGTAGATCTCGATTAGGGCTTCAAAAAAGGTAATTTGTGGCACCGAGCCCTAGGTCTTCGTTTTCGAGATAATCGGCTTCGAAAGTTTTCCAAAGTTTGAGACAAAGTTTCAACTTTGAGGCTCAACATCTCGAAATTTATTTGAGATAAATGACTCCATTTTATTTGATCTTAAAGTGCATTAAATTCTGATTAAGAGTATATAGCGACAACAAACTTTTAAATAAATTTATAGATGAGCATAACAAAATCATGTACGATAAAGTTTTTTCTAAACAGAATGATTCACTGTTTCTGCACTTCAACGCAGTTGTTAGATCCTTGGAGTTTTTCTATAGGGAAGGTTTGTTTATTGCATATAGTGATAAAAACAAAGTCGCTTATAAATTGAAAAATGTAAGATCAAATCATCAAAAAAATAATGTAGCAGGGAGGGCTGGTAGAAATAATGCTGCTGAATCAAACAATGAGATGTTTTTGTTTGCTGAAGTTGAGACATTTAACAGTAATATGAATGGTAGTTCAATTTTGTATAATAATGTTATAATGGATCCGTTAAATAATATAAACCATTAAATTTTTCTGCAGAACGAAACACCTCCAGACGTGATATGAACAAAATTGCAATTTCCTATCAAAATTGTAGAGGTATTAAAACCACGCTCAATATTTTAAAGTGTAATTTATTAAGTAATGATACTGATTTAATAGCTCTTACTGAAACGTGGCTGAATACTCCAGTATATAATTCAGAATTTAACTATAACAGTTCTTTTTCTAGAAAAGAAGGAAGCTATGAGCTGACTGGCAAAAAATAAGGGGGTGGTGTCCTTCTTGCAGTTAAGGATTGTCTTGTAGCTTGTGATTATGATATTTTTGATAATGATCTAGAGGCTTTGTGTGTAAAAATTAATTTTGACCATAGAACGGTTGTGTATGTGGTAGTTGTATAATTTGTACCTAGTAGCGGTCTTAATTCAGATAGAAAATTCCATGATTGTATCGAGACAGGACTTGTTAATTGTGACCACATTATTGTAGGTGATTTTAATCTTCGTGACTTTGTAAATGAGTTTATTTGTGATTTTAAAAGTTTTTTAGCCCTTTCAAGTTTCATACAGATTAATAATATAATAAATATACACAATGTACTTTTAGATTTAGTACTGGTTAGCCCCCGTATACAGGGTGGTAAGGTAGATATTGATGATGAACCTTTGTTGCCTGTTGATCAGTATCACCCTGCATTGATTATAAGATTTGACTGTGATAATGAATGTAGTGTATGTGAGCAGTTAACAAATACACAATTTAATTTCGAAAAAGCAAATTTTAACCTTATGTATAGTTTAATTTTAAATCAGGAATGGGAGAGTCTTTATGTACGTACTTGTGTTAATGAGGTGCTAAGTAAGTTCTATGATATTATGCATGCCGTATTAATTAAATGTGTTCCTTTGTCAACACAACTTGGTCGAACATTTCCTGTTTGGTATAATGGGGAAATCATAAAACTACTTAAACAAAAGAAAACCTATTTTAGAAAGTTCAAATCCACCGTCTTCTTACCGGCAAAGAAAATATAGGAATATTCTCCGGAATATTAGAACCCTAATTAAAAAGATAATTAAATTGTCCTTTACTAAATACTTAAATAGAGTAGAAGAGAGTCTTAGTGAGAATCCAAGGTATTTCTGGTCCTATATCAAGGAACCAAAGAATGACTCGGATATTCCCGCTGAGGTAAATTACAATAATATCCTGTTCTCTGGTACAGAGAATATTGCAGAAGCGCTTGCAGTGTCTTTCAGTAGTGTTTTTTCCCCTGCAGATTCTCTCGAATGAGCAAGGTTATCCCGATATTCAAAAGTGGAATTCGACGGGACATTGTCAATTACAGACCTATTTCTATAGTTAATTCAGTTTCCAAGGTTTTTGAAATACATACTCCTTTCCAACAGGATTTATGACCAGGTTAAATTTGATCTTAGTGAGTCCCAACATGGGTTTCTTCCTAAAAAATCTACATTGACAAACCTAGTATCCTTTTCCCAGTATTTACATGAATCTTTCAATAATAAAACGCAAGTGGATGTCATCTTTACTGACTTGGAGAAGGCTTTTGACAAAATAAAACATAGTGTCATGTTAAGTCTTTGCAAGAGAGCAATGTATCGAATAATTTGATTAATCTGATAACTTTTTATTTATCTGGAAGACAGCAGTCAAGGAAATCAAGGGGGATTTTCTGATGGGTTTGAAAGTACTTCTGGGGTTCCTCTTACAGGGCCTAAAAATTAAAAGGGGTATGCAAGAAAATTCAATTTCAAATATTTCAAAGGGCCATATTCTGGAAAACAGAGAAGCTATCGACACGAAATTTTGTCTGATTGTAGACCTTGATTGGGACTTTTAAAAAGGTTAATGGGGCACTGAGCCCTAAGATTTCGTTTTCAAGATAATTGGCTTTGAATATTTCCCAAAATTTGAGACAAAGTTTCAACTTTAAGGCTCAATATCTCGAAAACTATTTTAGATAAAATAGTTTTCGGTTGTTGTAACCGACAAAACTTCATTCTTTTCCATTTTAGATAAATTATTCAATTTTATTTTATCCTGGAGAGCATTCAATTCTAATTAGGATTGTATAATTATGCATTAGAATTTGTGGAATATAAATTGAGTTATGAGCGATTATGTGGGGCATGTCGGATGATCAAAATTTTTTATGGCAAAAAATTCAAAAATCATTTTAAATTATTTACAGGGCGTAAAACGTCGATAAGAAAAAATTGAAAAATGTAGAAAAATCAAAATTTAAATTTTTCAAAGGGGTATGGATTTTCAAATATTTCAAAAGGCCATATTGTAAAAACCAGGAAAGCTATCGGTACATAATTTTCTCCAATTGTAGATCTTGGTTGGGTCTTCGAAAAGGTTATCTGGCGCACCAAGCCCTAGGAATTTGTTTTCGAGATAATCGGCTTTGAAGATTTTCCAAAATTTGACAAAGTTTCAACTTTGATGCTCAACATCTCGAAAACTATTTGACATAAATGATTCAATTTTGTTTTATCTTAATAAGCATAAAATTCTGATGAAGAATGTACAAATATGCAATAGAAGGAAATATTAATTGAGTATGACCGATTTTGTGAGGCAATGTCGGATGATCAAAATTTTTAGGGCCAAAAATGCAAAACTTTTTTAGATAATAAAATGGTTTACATCAATGTGATATAAATTTTACATTCACTTGAGCAT